GGAACCTTGAAAGCATAGTGCTAAGTGAAAGAAGCCAGTCTGCAAAGGGCTACACGGGTAGGATGCCAACCTACCTACACGGGTAGGATGCATTCACGTGCAAAATGCGAAACTGTGGAGACAGTAAAAACATCGGTGGTTGCCTGGGCTTGGGGGTGGGCGCCCCGGGACCCCCCGAACCTAAACTCCAGCCTTACACACAACGTAAGACCGGCTACTGTGTCCGCGTAGACGGGGAGCTGGGACAGTGGCGGGGTCTCGCACTCTCTGGCCGTGGAATGGCCCCTGCTCACCCTAATTAAGTTCTGGTCCTTTCTAAGCTGGGTTCGAGTGTTCAGCCTAAGAATTTCCCTGAAGCTTTCTAGGGATCCAGTGTGGGGATTTCTTCGTACCTGTATTAACACTTCATATGTAGCCTGTGCTAAAGAGGAATTTTCTTTAAAAATCATTAATCCCAGGAACAAGCAGGGGCAGGGTTGGGAGGGAAGCGGCACACAGGAACCTTCTGGATCGTGGAAGTGGTCTTCGTTTGATCTGAGTATATGTGGCAGGCTGAATAACACCCCCCCCCCCAGCACCAAAGATGTCTACGTCCTAATCCTCGACACCCATGAATATGCTGCCTTATAGGGCACAGGGGACATTGCAGGTGTGAGGAAGTTATGGGTCTTGAAATGGGGAGATCATCCTGGGTTATGGGGTGGGCCCAATGTCATCATCAGGGAGGCAGGATGTAAGAGGGAGAGGCAAGGTGGTTAGAGACAGAAAAGAGGTGGACAGATGCCGAGCTGCTGGCTCAAAGACGGAGGCTGGGGCTGTGAGCTGAAGGCTGCAGGAGCCCCTAGGAGCAGGAAAAGGCAAGGAAGTGGATTCTCTCCTAAAACTTCTGACCTCCCGAATAGTAAAATAACAAACGTGTGTTGTTTTAAACCACTAGTTGGTGGTGAGTTTTACAGCCGTATTAAGAAACTAATACCGTGTGTCCGTACGTGGAAAGTCATTGCCATCTGCACTTAGGATTTGTAAAGCTTGCTGTATGTCAGGTGAGATCTCCACCTCAGCGTTACTGGCATTCGGGGTAAAATTTTTCTCTGTTGTAGGACGCTGTCCTACGCATTGTAGGGTGTTAAGCAGCGTCCTGGGCCCGGGCCTGCCTGAGGCCAACAGCCTCCCCCCAACCCCAGACGTGACGCCCAAAAATGGCCCCAGACATTGCCAAGTGGCCCCTAGAAGGCCAAACCACCCTTGGCTGAGAAGAACTATTATTCTCCAGCATAAAAAAAAAAAAAAAAAAAAAAGTTAGGGGGCTCTTGGGTGGCTCAGTCGGTTAAGCGTCCGACTTGGGCTCAGGTCATGATCTCACAGCTCGCGAGTTCGAGCCCCGCGTCAGGCTCTGGGCTGACGGCTCGGAGCCCGGAGCCTGCTTCCGATTCTGTGTCTCCCTCTCTCTCTGCCCCTAACCCACTCACATTCTGTCTCTGTCTCTCTCGAAAATAATAAATAAACATTAAAAAAAAAGTTAGTATACCTCCTGTAAAAGAAAACAAGCCTTTGTCCTCTGCTAACCCAAGTAACTGTAGAGCCACTCGCTCTATTCAAGGTGCAGACGAGACTTCTCCCTCGGAGGAAAGCTTCGCAGAGAAGTGATCACCTGGCGTTGTCTTAGAGGGGCCTCCTGAAAATGGCTAATTTTCCCGTGAGTGTGGGGTCGGGGTAGGCTGTGGCATTGGGGCACACGTGCCAGCCTCTAGAGGGACCCAGGTGCCTGGGCTGAGGCCCCACAGGGCTGTGAGCTGAGGGGGCATGGGCGGTGGAGGCCCCCACTTCGGTCCTGGGTCCCTTCTGTCTTTCCTGCCCTGGGGCCGCAAACCAGAGCCCTCTGGAGAGGGGTTGACGAGGGTCTGGAGTGTGAGGGGCGTGGGGGGCTTTGACGCTTCCCAGCCGGCAGTGTGGGGGGAGAGCACTGGGCGACTGATTAGTTGGAAGGAAAACAGGGCTGAGAAGGGACAGCTTTCATAAACAAGAAGTCTCTGCCTGGCAATTTCCCTCTTATCCCCAACCTTGAACTAATTTTCAGGAAATCTTTCTTCCCCAATTACCTAATTGCTGCTAAGTGACATTTGAAGAGCTCCAAGGGGCCTGGGTCGGGGGGCTGCCCCCGCCTGGGCCACCTCCTTGCTGGAGAGCGTGGCCCCCGGGTCCCGGAGGCGGGGGGGGGGGGGGGGTCGTCTACAAGTGTGGCCGCCCTGGCTCGTGCAGCACCCCCATCGAGCCCCCCACCACATTCCCACTTGATGGGGGTCAGGGGGGTCGCCTGGGAACCGGGGAAGGCGACACCGAGAGGCTGGAAAACGAGAGACAGACACCGTGCGCGAGGCTTTGGGCGGCCGCTCTTGTAAACAGGGACCAGCAGCTTCTGGATGGTTCTGCCGCTTCCTGAAAAGCAGCTCAAGGTGGCGCCAGAAGCCTTTCTCAGGCCGCTCAGGCCAGCGCCGGAGGGAAGCCTCGGCTTCCCCGTGTCCCGAGGGAGCTGGTTTCCAGGGGGCTGGGTGGGAGCAAAGTGCAGAGGAGAGGGGCTCGTGGCCCCAAATCTTTCCTGAATTAGGGAGATCCCATCTCTCAGGGACATGCCGGAGGGGAACAGCGATCTCCTCGTGCTTCCTCCCGCAAGGGCGCTCTGGTTCTGAGCTCTCACGGTGGAATAAAAATTTCCATCCTCTCAAAGGGGCTTCGAGAACAGGGAGCCCTAGGGAGGGGTGTGGGGTCAGACCCTCGCAGGACGCGTCAGCAGCAGCTGGCAGCTGGCCGGTGTTTACCAGGGAGGCCACTTCTGCCTCCTCCTTCCGGGCTGAGATTAAATGTACAGAACAGCCCAGCTGTTGGGAGGGCTTTCTGCAGGGTATTTAACAGACCGTGTCACTGTCCAGCTTAGCGGGATCAGGAAAAAATAAAATAAAACGGGCCCTTGTCCGCACGACCCCAACTCGGGATCGTGCCGTCCGCGCCTCTTGCCCGTGGACCGGCTCCGGGCCCCGATGGGCTCCTGGGTGCGTTTGCTCCCGACGGGGAGCCCCAGCACGGCCCTGACAGCCAGGGCGTCCCGAGTCGTTGGACCGGGTCCTGCCTGGGAGGAGAAGGGAGTGAAGAACTTTTCTGTTCTGTCCTGGGGTTTATTATTCAGGCTTCTTGGATTATTAAATGCTAAAATACATAAAAATGCAGATGCTGCTGTTTTTATGATCCAAGAATGCGAGGTTTAGGCAAGACGCCTTCACTGAGTTTGGCCCAGGCTCCCCGTGACGTCGGTCCTGCAGGGTGGGGTTTTCTCTGACCCCTGCCTGTATGGTTTCCCCAAACCACTTGTTTCGGGAACCAAGAGGTCACAGCACCAGGTGCTGAACCTCCAGGCCTTTGGAAAGGGGGGCCCCTGGACCGGCCACTCGGGGGTGGTCTGCAGCCCGTGTGGAGAGACGGGGGTCAGGGCTGGCAGAGTGAAAGGTGGCGTCACCTTGCGGGCAGCTGAGAAGCAGCCGGGCCCGGTGCCGTGTGGCCCGGAGCAAGTGACCGCCCCTCTCCGTGTGCTTTGTTTTCTCACCTGTAAAATGGGGGTGATGAGTCAACTTCCCTCAGGGGTTCTCAGCTTCGGGATTGATAGTCATCATCATTCTGAGTCGTGGGGGCTGGCTGGGCACTGTGGGAATCTCCCCACCGGACGCCAAGGTACCCCCCCCCCCCCACCCAGCGGACAAGCAAAAATGTCCCTAGATGTCGCCAGAGGCCCCTGCCCTGCCTTCGAAGGCCATCTTAAGGATTCAAACAGTCAATATGTGCAAAGCTCAGAAGCGTGCCTTGCATGGGAAGCGCTTAAAAACACCCGCCCGTGGAACTGGGGGTGGAGGGCACTGCCCACACGTTCCTCTGGCTCCGAGGGGCGAGTGCCTCACGTCCTGCCCCGGCCGCCCTGTGGGCTGTGATTTGTGACATGTCCACCGTGTCCAACCGCGACACTGGCATTTTCCCTGCAAAGTTGTCTCCCCTCTACGGAAACCAGGTTTGGAGACTCCAACGGGGGCTCTGAGCTAATGTTCTTTTCCCTCTCCCTTGGCTCGTTTACACCCAGGGCACACGGTGCTATTCCTGGGGTCCTCGCTGGCTTCCCGAGGGGAGCAAAGGCATTCCCCTGGATGATGGAATGACCGAAACTTCGGGTCTCCCGACCAGGCCTGGGGAGCCAAACGCCGCCTCCCTTTGCGATAACGGCTGCTCGGGAACAAGGTTCTCCCAAACCGGAAATGTCAGAGCATCTGCTACAGGCCTTTGGAAGGGGTAAAGTTGGTGGCCATAGGCCCAGAGGGTAGGTACCCCGACTGGGAGGGTCCAAAATGGCAGGCGGAGGTAGGCGCCAGGAGGCCAGCTTCCCCCTGGGCAGCGAGCGAGGAGGTGCAGGAGGCAGGAAGTGAGAAGGAGACCTCTTAGCTGGGCCGGGGGTCCTCGCATGTGGTCACGAGGCAGCACCAGCCTACTTGGTAAATGCGCTGGTGGGGAACGCTTTTGTGGGGCCTTCTGGGGGACAGCACCTGGCACCCACTGGGCAAGGCAACGTTGCTGCTGAGCTCCGAGGCCCCAGGTGGAGCCACGGCGTGCGATCCGCGTCTTCTCTGGGTCCCAGAGGTGGAGGGCGGGGGTGGGGAGAGCAGACGGCAGCTGGGGCGCCTCTGGCCCCGGGACTGGGGCTCAGCCAGGGGCCCTCGATCCGGGCAACAGTGAATATGCACCTGATTTCTCCACAAACAAGGAGAAATCGGTCGTGACAAGACACACACTTTGAGGCATCAATTCCCCATCGTAATTTCAAAGCGAATAAACGAACCAGGGTAATAAAGTGACAAGTAGGGAAGACGTGGGTCCTTAATGGGGGTGCCCTGCACGCTTATCTCGGTTGCCCTGCTGTGGTCACCAGAGCCCGAACACCGGGTGGATGTAAATAAACATTAATCAGCTTCTCCAGGGGCCGTTTATTTGCTGAGCCAACGTGAATGCTCTTGGCAATTTTTTCCAGATCACTCTTGACGGAGACTCTCACGGCTTCTCAAACAACTGCCTTTAATGTGCTTTCAAAAGTCTCTCGCTCTCTCTCGCACACTCTCTCCGACTCGTCTTTTTCCGCAATCACCTCATTAAAAGAATTTGAAAATGGATGGCAAATTGCCAGCTGCTTTTTAGAATGATGACTCCATCTCCACGGCGAGGGACTAATTTTACGGAGGAGAAAAGGAGACCCTTACACGTCTCATCAAGACGCCAAAGTCCGTCCTTCCTTCCTGGGGTCGTTATGCAATCATCACCAGTCAGACATTTTCTTGCCTAACTCATGGCGTGGCTCACCGACTCACCTCTCACAAACGGAGAGGACAACACACCCCTTGACTGTTTCCCCCCAGGCCCGTCGGGTCCTCTCGGAGTGCGTACGACCTCGAGAGGTTCTGCCTGTTGCTTCCGAACGTCCCACGGCAGCGGCACCCAGCCTCGTGCCCCTGGGTGTGAGCGCGTTCACCATGTGAATGAGCCCCCTCACGACGCACCATGCCTGATCAAAAGCAGAGGGAATCCATCCACAGAATGCGTGGTTGGTTTGCGAACGAGCATCCCAGACCGCCACGTCTAAGTCACGTCACGGAGCACAAGATACATGACCGCTCAGGTTACAAACGTGTGTCAAGGATATAGACTGTGGGTCGCCAGCTGGGCTCCTTGGATGAATGGAACTCCAAGTTTCCTCTCCCATCGCTGTCCTGCTTTGTCTCGGCCCCCTCCCTTCCAAAGAAATGGTAGCTGAGGACCACAAAGATAGTGAGACTCAGAAGCTGTCCCCCTGGGAGGGTGGGCACCCGACTGACTCACTGGGGCCAGGAAGCCAAGTGAGAGGGTCAGGGCCGTGTTCCGGTCTTTCTTTTCCCAGCGCGCGGCCCTCATGCACCCACTCACTGTTTCTTGTTGACGATGAAAAATCGTGACCTTTGTGGCTCTGTTCCTATTGACAGAGAAGGGACGGATCTGCCTAAACAGAAAATAAGACTTAACCAAGAATGTTTCACGCCCCTCGAGACAGGCGAAGTCAGTGCGACCTTTTGCGATCAACCAAGCCTGCAGCCAGCTTCTGTCACCATATGTCACTCATTCGTTCACTGAGGACACAGCCAGGGCCCCACAACGCCCCCGAATCTAAAGCACTCGTGTTCTCACCCAGTTCGATCCCGGAATCCCCGAGAAGGACCTCCTTCTCCAGGTAGTTTTCTAAGCCAAACGTTTAAGATTAAAATTGGGCCTCCCAAAATGTGACCGATGGAGATTTCAGTCTTATTTATTCTGGGAAGCATGACAGGTGTGCCCGGAAAGAACCTTTCCCATCGAGACCCCCAGATGCCAAGGAAAGCACGTGTGGGAGAGAGAGTTTCGACACACCACGACCCATTCTGGCTTAAAGAGCACGTGAGAAAAACCTAATGCGAGACGGTCGACGAACACAAGCATACTTCTGGGTGTGCCGTGGTCGAAGCCAGACAGCAGGGTGGGGGAAGGGAAAAGCGAGACGTGGATCTGGGGCCAGGGCGCCGGAGGGGGGACTAGAGGGGGAGGCGGGGGGTGCCAAACACAGCCTCGCCTATCCTGCTCCCCAGGAGACCGGGGACACCTTGAGGACACAGGCCAAGTCCTGCTACTCTTCGTGGCCTTGCAATGCCACACGCTACCTAGTCCGCAGCAGGCACTCGAGAACCACTTGAAACTGAACAGGAGCCAGAAAGACTCTCATGGAAAATCCTCCCTCATTTTGTGGCTTAAATGAACTCAGCTCGATTCAGTTCTACTGGACAAGCTCTCCTCGTCTCTCCCTTCTCTTCCTTTCCTTTCTTCTTTTCTACCCTCCTCAGGTTGAAGAGAAGATACTACTACTCCCCCCCCCCCCCCCCCCGCCCCGGTCCTTCTTGCATTACAGCAACTGGGGGAGCCACAGCTCCGGAAAAATCCCGCATCCAGGTCGGAGGTCCCAAGAGCCAAATGCAAAGACCGATGTTTTGTTTGCTTCCTCACCTCCATTTTATTTCTGAGGAAATAAGACAGAAAGGTTTGTCCCTGATGTAGGAAACCCTTTGTCCGCCTCTCTGTCCTCGACAGAGGGCTTTGGATGGGAAGGATAGCTTGTGAGGAGGAAGGTCCCTCTGGGCTGGCCCGGAGGCCCGGAAGGGATAATGTGCACCACGGGCCTGGCAAGGCCCTCTTTTGCCAGCACTGGTGTCCTCATCTGAGAAGTGAGAGGTTTGGAACAGGCATCCAGACCGTCCCTCTGTGGGCCTAGAACTCGGCTGAGGTCACATGGTTACGGAGAGGGGGGCCAAGACTCACATTTAGGACCCCTGCTTTCTTAGCACACCTTCCCTCTCTCTTGAGGAGTTCTCGCCGGTGAGGACCAGCCCCTGCCTTTCACTGGATGGCCTTTCAGATTTCTCAAAGGTCCTCAAAGACCTTGGGAGCCCTTCCTAGTCCAGGGCGTGTCTTGCCCCCAAAGCTGTCTTCAGGCTTTGGCAACCACAAGACTCCTTCACTGATCATAGCAAAGTTGGCATAAAAACCTGATTTCCTGAGGTTCACGTGGATTCGTGGTGGAGAGATGGAAGTATAAAGGGTTGATATAATTCCATCTCCAGGACACGGACACCGCAGATGAGGGTCAGCAACTGAGATACATATGCTATGAGAGGATTCGTGACAAAGAGGTTGGTGTGCCCCCCCCCCCCCCAAGTTCTGTTTTTGTTTGCATTTCACCTAATGAATCAGGTCTCCTCTTGGGGAGGTCCCACAAGGTCCGACCCGGGCTCAAAGCTCTTCTCGTTTGCACATTATTATGGAACTGAAACTTGTAACAATAAACATTGTGGGATTTATGGCAAATTGAAGAAGCCTCCTCCTTGAAAGTGGATTCTCAAGTGAACCAAGTGAGAACAACTGTGCTGAACCCTGGAGGCTGGCAATTTGGGAACTGCGCGTTCGTATCGACGACCATCACAGGATGCGTTTCAGACTGTCATTTTAAATAGCATGGGACAGGTTGTTTAAATATCTCGTTCCAAAGCTGCAGCCGGCCGTCTACACCGTGGATCGGCCCCTCTCCCTCGGATGCTCCACAAGGAAGTCAAAGACCCTTGAGTCAACATGTAGGAAAATTGGGGAAACACTAGTCCCACAAGGAAATTGCTTCTCAGGGCACCACTCAGCCCTCAGAGGAACAGCAAGGGGGGCTCTGAAGGAAACCCCAAAGCAAGAGGTCTTGGAAAGCCAACGCCACCGAATGGAAGACAGTAGGAGGGGGAAGCTGACTTGGAAAGCCTTCGGCCATCTGGCCAACCGCCGGTGGCCAGACTAAATTATCATTCATCCACCCAACACGCGTAGCTCAAGTGCCGACTGCGTGGGCGTGTGCCCTTTGAGGCACCTGCAGGGCAGCCGTGAACAGAGCAGACGTCGCAGGCACTGTCCGCGAGAGGGGCTGTGGGAAGACCTCGCAAGGAAGGTGAGGGAGGCAAGAGGAAGTTACTAGCCCTGCCCTCAAGGGAGCAAGACGCGAACCTCAGGGAGGCTCCTCAGCATTAACAATATACCTGACTCGAGGCAGCAGCAGAGAAGCTGCTAGACAAATGACAGCTGGCGAGCAGGGGCCGTCCCCACGGCAAGAGGTGGGGTTCTAGCCAGACTGCCTCGCCTGCACTCCAGTCTGGAAGCCCAAGGAACGGAAGGGTCTTGCTCCGTGACAGATTCCACAGCCTCTACCTCCCAAACTGGACCACACTTGCCGTCTCCAACACCGCCGACCGTTGTTTCGCACCTGGACTTCAGCAAAGGTGTTCTGACTGGTCTCCCTGGGTCCGCACGTGCTCCCCAGCCTCGAGCTCCCCACGTAGGCCCAGAGAGACCTCACGACCACTAACCATTCTGTCCTTCCCTGCTCGAAAGCCACTGACTTCTCCAAACTTAGGCTAAGAACCCAGTCCCTCGCCTCGTCTTCACATCCAGCACGTCCTTCCTGCTTCCTCAACCTCACCTCCTCATGCTCACCCCAGGACCCTTGCATGCGCTGTCTACCCAGAACACTCTTACTGCTCTTCTGCCCATAACCAGCTTCTTCTTATTCAGAGAAGCCCTCCCTGTACCCGCCCCTTGTTTACAGGAGCCCCTCCTGGTTCATCTCTTCCCTATTTTGCTTCATTCATATCTGTTTACTTATTAATTTACTTGTTTGGGGTCCTCTCCCCCAAGAGCATGGGAGCATCTTGAGACGGGGGTTTTGCCTTGTTCACGCTATATCCCCAGCAGGTGGCACCATTCCTAAAAGATAGCAGGTCCTTAAGAAACGTCTATCAAAGAAAGAAATGTTCTTTTTCACCCACCTCCACTGGCAGGTCTTGAGGGCCAAGGGGGGTAAATCACAGGAGTGCTTCTGAGCGTCACAGACGCGCGTTGTTACCGCAGAGAGAAAGGTGATGCTGTGTTACCAGCTGCAGGGGGGAGGGGGGGGCAGGAAGGTGGCAGCTTTGCCTCACCCCCCACATGTGACTGAGAAGTCCCAGCAGACCTGGCCCACAGTGGGTCCATCAGTGACCCAATGAGGATCCCGGTAAGAGAACATATTTTATAGTCTGTCTACACTGCTGAGCTGATCCCTGCTGAGAGGAGACGAGGGGATCACGAGGAGAGATTACCCTTGGCCTAGAACATCTTCCCCGGGACCCACGAAGCACAGATGACTGGACTTTCCACCCCCAGCAGAGCACAAATCCACTTCCCAGGAGCCTCTCCGCTTGAAGGGCAAGAGGCATCTCCCCTAAGCCTCGGTTTCCCTCGTTAGGAGCTGTGTTTGCCAAGTAACACCACCGCCATCTCCCCGGTGTGAGCTGCCGGGACCCCACCCTCTGCCTGCACAGGCCTCCAGGCTTCACGCTTTCTGGGATCGTCCCAGCAACCACTGGGGCTGCACATCCGCATCACATCGCTTTACAGATGGGAAAACTGAGGCTCAAAAAAGCAGCAGGACTCTCTCAGGTCCCTGGAGTCGCCAAGTGGGAGAGCCTGGACTTGAACTTGGGGTCTGTTTCCTTCTGGTACAATGGCATGGACCAGCCGCCCAGCAGCCTTTGCCCAGACTTGGTTTTGGTTTTGGTTTTGGTTTTGGAGAGGGTGTCGTGGGGACAATGGGTTAAATCCACGAGTAGAGAGCAACACCTTAAGTCCACAAATTCGAGGAGGGGGGTGAGAGAAGACGAGCCCCTTTTCCCGGGGTCCCAAGCCAGGGCCTCCTGATCCCGCCAAAGGAAGGCCAGGTGGGAGCCTCTGGATGCGACTGCCTCGCAGTTCTGGTCCGAGCAGGGGTAAGGAGAGCAGGGAACTCTGCAGGGAGAGACCCTGGCCCCTGGCTCCCCCAGACGCCGGGCTGTGCGCCTCTGCCAGCGGCGGCCTGCAGTTCCGCCCGCGGCCGCGTGGGCGCGCTGTTGGGCAGCGAGTGAGCGCGACGCGTGGGGGGCGGCGGCGCCCGCGGTCCCGGCCTCCGCGGGCCTAGCGCCCCCCACCCGGGTCCCCGGGGGCTCGGACGGAGTGGGTTCCGGGAAAGGGGGCCAGGGGGCCCGGCTGGGGTGGCTCGGCCTGGGCCGGTCAGGGCGGGAGACCCCCCCCCCTCCAGCCCCCGGGGGCGCCCCCATTGCGGCCCCGTGACCCCGGGGCGCTGGAAGGGGTTGGGCACAGCGAGGCGGAGGGAGGTGGGCGCGGGGGTCCCAGGTTCCCCAGGCGGGGCGGGGAGCGGGGGGGGGGGCGCCGGGGCTCCTGGATACAGCCCTGGGACCCCGAGGACCCTGGGCCCAGGGGGCACAGAGCAGCCTGCCGCAAAGGGGGACGCTGTGCCCACCTGGCCCAGGTGCGGGGGCGGCTGGAGGACAGCGAGGCCTGGGGACGCGGGGGCAGCGGCCCTTTCTGCTCCCTGTCACCTGCCAAGGTCACTGTCAGTTGTCAGGGTGGT